TTACCCTTATTAAATCCTATATTCCCAATCTCCAACCCTCCTTACCTCTTGCTTCTGCAAACTACCTCCCATTTAACCGAGTGACCCTTCTTTTTCACCCCAAGTTCCCACAAGATATCTTTCATAATTTTTCCATCTTGGCCACTCCCCACAGTACTTTAAACACAAAAGTACACTAGAAGATTAGCTGAAGTTTATTTCTCACATTTATCATCAATAAAATTTCTTTATTGTTTTTACTGATAAAGAAAGATGCCATAACAATAGATTCATTGTCTTTCAAATAAATATAGTGTTAAACTTTTGTTTTGATAACAAAGCAGAAGAATTTTCATTAAAAGAAAAAGAAAAAAGAAAAAAGAGCACATAGCAAAGATGATGAGACGGCACCTCACCCCAAGAAAATACAACCAAAAGAGACAATACAACTTCAACTATTAGATTACATCTTCTAAAACCAAATCAAGAGTGGACCAAAAAAAATATCACTTTTTTTATGAATATAAACTATATCACATTGTTGTAGGGGCAGAACCAGGGGGGACCCAGGGGAGCCATGCCCCCCCATGGTCCGGAAATCCTCATTTGTAATACATTCTTCTATGTAAATTTCCCCCTCCCCCCACTCCCCACCCCAATGGTCCCCCCCAAATCCACTTTAGGTTTTGGCCCCCTCATAAGAAATTCCTGGCTCCACCCCTGCATTGTTGTCAATGTGTTGACTAGTCAAAGCAGCCTATCAACTAGTCAGTTGAGAGCCAGACCAACTGCATCACTAACTGGTCAGTTAATATTCAAGATGTAGTTGCTTAGGACAACAAAGCATTATGGCTGCAAACTGGGCGAGCCCAACCCAACCAACCAAAGCTTTTGCACAAGTCAGGCTTGTGTCTTCAGGCTTTAGGCTGGGCTTTGGCCAGAAACCTCGGGTTAGGCTAGGGTTGAGGCCCCAATAGCCCAAGCCCACCTAATACTACATAAATATACATGATCTATATATGTCTATATTGTGTTGTGTATTTGTAACATATACATGTATGTAAATTACATAGCTATACTATCATATACACTGTAAACTATAATTATTTACAATATGTATAAGATTAGTTAAACTGAACAGAACAGAATGCACTAAACATACATTTGTCCCTCCCCAGACCCCGCATTGGCTGTCTTTTTTTTATATAATTAATTAAACTGGATATGGCACTGAATAGAACAGAATGGAAAAACAAGATTCATGTAGCCGACCACATATAGGTGGGACAAGGCTTAAACTCACATCCCTGCACAAACATGTAAAAATGCACACATGTTATGCATTTTATTTATATAAAAATATTTTTTTATTATAATTATATATGTATAAAATATGTATTTATACATTAATTAATGAGATCTGTGCATATTTTCAATCCACTCTACTCCTTAATTGGGGATACAAAGCCCAACAAAGAAGGATGTAGAAAACATATTAAAAAAAAAAACACCTTCAAACACGACCAAACCACACAGGACCGACCAAGCCTGGCCTAAGCTGTGTTGGGTTAAGCTCAGGTTAGGCCCAAGTTGGTAAACTTGGGCTTGACCCCAGGTTGGGCCAAGGCCAAGCCCAAGGTTTGATTGTTAGGGTTGGCCCTAGGTTGATCCTCAACCCAACCAAGCCCACCTGAACTACTGATGTGGGCGCCGGCAGCAGCAGTAACTTAGTGTTCTCAGCAACAGCAATTTAGTGTTCTCATCCTATCTTATCTTATCTTATCAGTTCAGTCTTATCTTATCTTATCAGTTCAGTTCAGTCTTATCTTATCTTATCTTATCAGTTCAGTAGGATAGATTAGTAGGGATGCTTCCTAATTAGCAAGGAGTCTTCCTAAAGGTAGGACTCTTATCTCTTGTAATCTCCTATTTAAGGAGCTGATTTTATTCAATAAAGGCATCGAAAATTTCAGTCAAGAAAGAGAGCAAGGAGAGTTAGGTGATCTCTTGGACAAATCACCATTAGGGCGCCAAGATAGGTTCATCAAGAGCAGGGAGGAACATGGGAAATCAGGAGGTTTTCCCCGTGGACTGACCCGTGACGAGATCCTATTCCCGGGCCCATAACAATTTGGTATCAGAGCAATGCGTCATGGGTGACCTTGAGCAGTTGAAGACTAGGGTTCAGGATCTGGAGCTCAAGATCGTGGAAAACAGCACGAAGGTGCGCGAGATCAAATCCGACGTCTGAGAATTAAGGCGCTTGATGGAGTGGTACTTTTCCAGCAAGGAAAGGAACCCGAAAGGGGCTGCAACCACAACCGGCCACCGACCAAACGTGGCAGAATCATCGGGCGAGCAGCAGGTCGTTGCCCTAGCGCAGGTTAGCAACACCCAGAATGTCCCGATTACGCAGGAATCCGGTGTCGTCGAGGTGTTGCAGAATCTTGGGATTGCATATCTTCAAGTTGTTGCAGGTGCTGGGGCAAGTGCTGGTGAAGGAGCTTGTATGCCTCATGTTGCGGCTACAAATGTTGCAAAAGAGTGTTTGTTAGCTGCAGTCAGATCAGATCCTAGGGCTGCACATATCTGGGTGAATCTTGCTAATGCATACTATTTGGCTGGTGATCATAGAAGTGCTGGAAAGTGCCTGGAGAAGACAGCAAAACTAAAGCCTAATTGCATGTCAACTTGATATGCTGTTGCGTTTCATCGTATCAAGGATGCAAAAAAGTCTCAAGATCCCATTGAACAACTTTCATGGGTTGCAAATGAAATGGCTTCAATACTAAGAGAAGGGGACTCTGCAACAATTGAGCTTCGGATAGCATGGGTAGGACTTGCCATGGTTCACAAGGCTCAGCATGAAATTGCAGCAACATTTGGAACTGGACAAAATGATTTGACGGAAGTGGAAGAGCGAGCTCTGTACACACTAAAGCAGGCAATAGAAGAGGATCTAGATGATGCGGTTCAGTGGCACCAGCTTGGCCTTTACAATCTTTGTACTCTATAGTTCAAGACATCTCAGAAATACCTTAAGGCTGCAGTTGGCCACGGCAAAGAATGCAGCTACGCATGGTCAAATCTTGGTATCTCACTACAGCTGTCTGAGGATGAACCCTCTTCATTGGAACCCGATCCAGGAGGGCAAAATCATTCCACCTATCCAGGATTCCTTTGACTGTGTTCCAAGACACCCATCCTGAATTCGAGCTTGAAGACAAGCTCGTAGTTCAGGAGTGGAGTAATGATGTGTCACCGGCAGCAGCAGCAGTAATTTAGTGCAGCAGCAACAGTAATTTAGTGTTCTCAGTAGCAGCAATTTAGTGTTCTCATCCTATCTTATCTTATC